CTCAGGTGGCGCGTGAAGACGACGCGCCGCCGCCTCCACCGCCTCCTCCTCAGCCTAGACCTCTTAACCCCGCTGATCCATCGCCGGCCGATGAATCTGACTTCCTACGCATCGAAATCGACGGCTGGGATGAAGACGAAGGAAGCAACAACCGCAACGTTAATCGTGATGAGGAGGAGGACGATGATGATGATGAAGAGGAGGAGGACGATGATGATGATGAGGATGTGCGGAGTGTTGAGATCGAAGGACAGTCTGACGATGATGAAGACGAGAGAGAAGAAGATATTCGGCGGCGGCGGAGAGATGTGCTCCGTCTTCGACTCCGCGATTTCGCTAATCGTGCTCGGAGCGAAGGGAGAAACAGGATCTTAGATTGGGCGGAAATTCTGATGGGATTAGAGGATAATTCAATTGAATTTCGCTTCGAAATGCCGGAGACTACAGATCGGTATATCGGACATCCGTTGGATTATGTCGATGAGGCCGAGTACGAGGCGTTGTTGCAGAATTTGGCGGATGCGGAGGGGAGGAGAGGGGCGCCACCAGCGGCGAAATCGGCAGTGGAGTGTTTGAAAGTAGTGGAGATCAAGACGGTGGATGAGAGTTATGTGTGTGCTATTTGCAAAGATGGTGTTAATGTTGGGGAGTTTGTGAAGGAGATGCCTTGTGGACATGGATATCATGGCGATTGCATTGTGCCGTGGCTCGAGGCGAGGAATTCGTGTCCGGTGTGTCGGTTCGAGTTGCCCACGGATGATGCTGAGTATGAGGAGGATAGGAAGAAGAGATTTCCTGCATTTCCTGGTAGTTCATCAGGGTCTGCTGGTGGGAATTCAGTTTGAATTATATGGAAGAAGAGAAAGAAAGGTAGAGGTGAACTTCTTGATAAAATTAGCTCTCTCCATTTTGTTAAACCTTTTGGATTGTAGTCTTTCTTCGTGTTGTTTTCTTTCTTTGTTTTTGTAATTGTATGAAACATGTTTTATGTTTTGATTTAAATGTTTGTCAATGTAAATAAGTTCTTTATCTTTCTCTTTATGATCATAGTGTTTTGTTTCTTGTATGGTTTAACTAGTGGAGAAGTAGGCTTTGTATTTATCTATAATACTCAATAAAGAAAGTAAAACTTACTCACTATGTTGTCTGTGCATTATGATGGGTTCAAATTTGCTCCATTCACATTAGAAGTTTGGAAATTAAGTCTCTTTGATTGTTGGCTGTTTAGCTTTGCTTTTATGCATTGTTCGTCACATATTGATGATGGTGAATTGGTGATCGATTGCTTTGCTGGGCTATGTGCGTTTTCTCTTGCTAGTATGTTTTTTGATGTGTGACTGAAATTTGGAAAGCAAGTATATTTTGATGTTGAGTTAGGATTCCAATCTCGGAACTTGGTTGCATATATGTTACTTGAAGGCCATAACCTGATATCAAGTACGAATTAGTAGCTTAATTGAGTTATTGTTAGATAGATTTTTATTTGTACTTAGTACCAATTAAAACGTGGCATAGTTCTTTGTTTATAGTTTTAGTTTGGGAAGCTGGAGTTTTTCTAGTTGAGGCTGTTTATGTCACCTCAATCAATTATTGGTGTCAGCTGAGATTTGTGAAATAGTTTGTGTATAGAGCTGCGCTGCCGTCTCAGAAATTCGAACTTTTAACCTGTTCAAGTACTAATTGATGTGTTGTAGGTGGTTTTTCACAATAAACTTGGGCTATTTCAAACCTGTGATGGCTTTGGTAAACAAGGTTGGACTGAGTTGGATAAATTTTCCAGCTGTTTGTCTAGATGTTTATGTAAGAGGGGTGTTAGATGAAGAAGGGGGAGTAGGTTGTATTTAAGGAGAAAATGCTAGCTTTGCATGCCTGAACCCGAGGCAGTTATGAGATGGTTTATAATGAGGGTTGTACTAACATGGTGTGTTGATTATGTCCAGATGTTCTATATTTTTGGGGACTAGCTTTGACTGCTGAGATTTCCTTTTCTTTTACCAGGGGAGGGGGGAGGGATTGCTTTAAGGCAGGCACTGGGATACTTTATGCGACACTATCATTAAATACCCTGTATATATCCCACTGAGGTAAGGTCTCAGCAAGTCTAGATGTTTGCTGCCTTTACTCCTAATCAACCCAGAAAGGAAAAAGTGAGCCTAGGTGCTGAAGCCCAAGGTGATTGGGGTTAAGTACTTATACGACTCTTTTTAACTGGCGCAGCTAGGCACTGGCATCTTTTGTAACTTGTTTTCACTTTCACTCTAATTTGGGGTCTCTCCTTGCTTTGGTGAGGCATGTGCCTTGTGCGGTTTTGCCTATCCTGTGCCTTGTGTTTCTTCAGCCTTTTCATATTGGTTGAAAACTTTTAGCGTCTTTTTCAACAGAATTGTAAGATCTTTGGAGTTTGTGGGTACTCCCCCCCTTGGGGCACACATTCAAAAGCTAAAGGGGTATAAAAGGCATGAAGCCTCTTGTGCCATCTTTACCTTTATTTTATATCTTTTTATTCCATGGCCTTCAGAAAATGATTCATGGAGTCACGTTTATTCCTCATACTAGTTTCTTGCTCTCTATGAATTTTCTGTATCCTGTTACTACTTGTTGGATGGAAATAGGGTCTCAGGCCCCCCTAAGCTCATAAGTGATTAATCATTCATATTGCATATATTTTTGTAGCCCAAGATTTTTTGAGCAAATTATCTAAGACAGCACATCTGCACATATTTGAGTTGGTGGTTTCTTGTTTCAACTTTTTACTTCTGCTTTATACTGCAGAATTGAATGTTTGCTACGTGGCCTCACTGTGAATTGTTTGAGAAATGGCTAGATTTATAGAACAACTTTTTGGTTTGAGTTATTTTTCTGCTCCCATGAATAGTTTTGTTATTGATCTACTGGGTTTTACTCCTTTTTATCAATGTCATATGTGTTGTGAGTCTGCACCTAAAAATTAAAAATGTGTTTTGTGAGTTCTGAGGCGTTGATGCCTTTCATATGCTTGTCATTGCATAATTTGTAGCAAATATCGTGTCTTCACCTGAAATGTTAGAATTTATATAGTTGGCATTGAATATAAATCCTGTTTCACATAATTGCATACGCCAATTGGGCAAAGGCTTGAATCTTCTTCCTGATTTTTTAAAAATATTTTTATTTTGGGATATTCCTTGGGTATATATTTACCTAGTATGTTCTCCTATAATTTCCTTTATATTCATGAAAAATGCGTCTCTTTAGCAAGTTGTGTTTACAGTTATTGCTCATGAACTAAAGAACTTATCTGTTGATACAAAGCTTGTTGAGCAGCTATGTAGCATGTCATGCATTGCAGCCTGAAGTGCATATGAATACACTCTTTATGGGATGGGGTGGTTCCATACATTAGTTTACTAATTACTTACCCACAATTACTGATATTGTTTTTTAAAATCTGATTTGTAATTAGATACTGTCTGGGACTTGGTTGTCCTTGATTTTGTACAGATTGAGGGCTGGATTATACTGCCCCCCCCCCTCTTCTTTTTTTAATTTTTTAATTGTTAATTCTAATTGGTAAGGGAGACTTTTAAGGTGCTGTTTCAAGAATTATTTCAACAGTGGTTCTAGTTTTTGTATTGGTGAAATTTTATTTTTGTGAAGTGGGTACTGCCATAATATATTCCCAGTGCTCTCTACATATTTTTATACTAGTAATTATACTTATGCTGTAAAGACTGCTGAAATTTGATCATTTATTCAGCAGTTTATTCAAAGATGTATTGAATTGGTGATGTCAACCAACAACAGTGTTTGAGGCGAACGTAATAAAGCAAACACCAATTGAAGCCACCTTTCTATTTTGAGTTTCTTCTCAACAAGTCCAAAGTTTATGGCAAGGTATGCCTTCTGGTTGATTGGCAATATAAATAAAGCAGCTGAAGAATTCCATTTGGTCATAATCTTCCCTTGTATAATTGATATTGTAATAGATTTGACATATATCTTTTCTTTTCTTTTCCTTTTTCCCTTCCCCTTCTTTGCACCCCCCCTTTCCCCCACCCGGCTTTTCTCAGTTTGGAGCATCAGAATTTTTAGTCTTGGATGATGCCATGTTGAGGTTCTTTTGAGCCCTTTGTATATTTTTAGAATCTGTCATTTTTTACTTTTGTACTTACATCTATTGATTGAAGCTCATGATTGCCGCATCCCTGATGCATAGGAGTTTCGACATAGGAGTTGTTACTCTCGTCTGTTGTCGTAGACTCGTAGTAGTCGAGGGGCGTTACACTGTTCAATTTGCTGTGAGTTATGTGATGAGAAACGTTACATGTGCATTGGCTATAATGCACTCTGCACTTCTGCAGCACTTAGGAAATTGGCAGTTTCAGTGTTTTTGGTTGTGACTGATTTCTGACTACTGTCTTAGCATCGGATCTTGTATTGGAAATTGACACTCCAGGAAAGCAGAGCTCATGCTTTTTTAGGAAATATATGCATTGTTCGTTTGATCCAATGTGTTATGTGTAAGTGGCCCCTTTCACTAAATCTGAGGAAAGACTCACATGGAATGTGCTGTCTCTTGTCTCATTGTTGTGGAACCCTAAAATAACGACGAGTTAACAGATGTACGCCTAAATCTACTACTGTCAGAATTATCAGTATACGGATAACATACCGAAAATCCTTCTGTTCTAGGATTTCTTTTTTGTTTTAGATTTTGCACCTTTATCAATGCACATTTGTTACAAATGATTTTAGCACCCCATAAATTGATTTTGGCACACCTTATGTGAGGGTACAGTTTTTTATGCTCTACTCACATGGAGGTGTACCAATATCAATTAATGGTATGCCAAAATCAATTTTCACTTGTCACAGTTTACCAATACTATCTAATTACTATTATTAATTTAGTAAAATATTACGGAGTATTAATATGTATTTTAAAATCAATTATTTAGTCAAATCAAACAAAACCATATTCAACTATCTGCTTATTTGAAATCCTCCAATTGGGGATTTGAGAACAAATTCATCAAACTACTCTGTAGGATTGTATGAATAGATGCAGCATCTTAAATAGGAATAACTTTTATTGACGGTGGGAGTAAATAATTTATTTAAAATAAGTTAAAACAAGTAATTTTTATCACTTATAAATTCAGTTGTGTCAAAAGATAAAAACAACTCACGTGTTTTAAGACAAATTAACTAAGTGATTCATAAGCAATTAATGTGTGTTCATTTTCTTAAAAAAAAAATATAATTTTTCCACATGAACACGTAGGATTTTTTTTTTTTTTTTTTTTTTCCAGGTTATATGGGAAAAGATTTCTATACATTTTACATGTACAATACCATCCAAATTTGTATGCGCAGTCTATCAGTTTAAGATTGAGCTTGTACAAATTTAAAAAGCTTGCACGCAAAGCACCATACAGGACAAGTTCTAGCTCAATTAACATCACACACTCATCACAGGTTTACAATCCTTCTGAAATGTTTGTTCTTATAAAACTAATGTGAGGCGATGCTCAGCAACTCAGCAAAGCCTAGTCCACCAAGTAGAGCATACTGCAAAACATGAATGAAATCATGGATCACATAATAAGTGACTCTTATCATCGTTATTGTCATAAGAAATGAGTGCTTATTATTTGGTAAAGATGCATATTACAAGTATTATCTGCATAAAGACCATAACTACTGTACTGTAGGTTCAATCAATTTTTTTAATCTGTAAGCTGATAAATAAAAATGTCTGTGGATGTGTGCGTTGTGTGTTTTACTGCAGTGGTGTCCTCTAGATTATAAGATGAAAAGAACTGAGAAAGGCTAACTGACCGTCATCAAAGGCTTCTTTCCCAAGAGAATTGTTGCCCAACCAATATATGGCATACGCCTGTTGTATTGAAAATATGTTAAGCAATATTTAAACTTCGTACATCATAAAACTATAAGAGAAAGGTGTATTGAAAATGCATTGCTTTTAGTATGAGGGGCTTTGAATAATAGACCCTCGTTAAAGGCGACTGTGCAAGATACACTCTGGATTATTGAAGCCTTTGAAGGTGGCTTAAAAATTAGTCAATCAAAACACACCTTAGATTGTTAAAGATAAAAAAAAGGAACTCTTGAAAGCACATTTACAAAAGGTTCATATCATTTAGGAACCTACAATGAAATGATTCAATTTATCAGGATACACAATTAGGATAGTTTCAATATGATTTTGCGCTTCTCAGCCATGCTTGATTAGTAAAGTGGAACACCTAACTAGTTATATATTCAGTTCAATATACCGAGGTCATTCTATACCAATAATCCTACATTCCGATGTCAAAATAACATAAGTATAAATCTTTAAACAGATCCCTCACATAAGACACCCTTAATGATGAATTTGTTCAACTATTGATTTAAAATTCATATGCTACAGCAAACAGTAAGTTATGTTGAAGGCCAACTATAGATCGAATCTAGGCCCATTACTCCGTCTTAACCCAGAAAGAGTCCAACAATCTAGGATAGAGGCTTTCCATTCATACATCAACCGAGCAGCCAATGAAAATAATGGAAGAAATTACTAAGAGTACAAAAGGACAGGTATGTAGCTTGTATTAATGAGATTATCTTACTAGAGTGGTTAGGTTCTTCCTTTATTGAATCAACAAACTCATTCTGTAATGATATAACAGAATTAGTTTGCGGATTTAATAGAGGTAAGAATTGAGGGACAACAAGAAAATTTATTAAGAGTAAAATATGGAGGGAGATAAAAGGTAAATCAGGGGAAAGTTTCAACCAATGAAAAGACGACAACAAAGATTCCAGGAACACTTAAAAGCTTATGCAATATAAGATTACAACAAGTGCACTTACCCTATCACTCTTCCAATTATATCATGATCTTCAAGCCACAGTTGGCCATCTGCATATACCCCATACCTGTCATCTTCCGAATTAGCATCGCCTGAAACATCATGCACGCATCAGTAGTGTAATTGTGTAAAACTGGGAAGGATCAGCTGCACATTGCTATTAGAATTAAGAACATTACATATCATTACAAACACAAGCTACTGCACATTTGGCCAACTTTTGGGCTACACTATTACACATTTACATTCCTTATTCCTTACACATACTTGTCATCTGCCGGATTAGCAGGCACAATATTAGTAATGATACCAAGACAGATCAGCAAGCAATGCAGAAAAGGATTAACCATTTTCTTCTCAGCCTGCAGTAAGGTTAATCCTTTTATGCATTAGATAACCTTACTAGTTCACATGCCGTCCCATAGTAGTCATCTAGTGCACATGCCGTCCCATGTGCATAGCCAATCATAACACTGCCTTTATTACTAGTTTTCCAGCTATTGCAGATCCCATATATCGTCAAAGAGCCTTGTTAATGTCCAATTAACTGACCCTTTTGCTGTGACTCTAAAAGAAATGGCTTTGTTGAGGTTTAATTCAATTACTAGTTAGTCCAGTTCTCGAATGCACCCTTGTGCTTCATGACATTTTCTTTTGTTGTACGCAAGCCTTCATATATTGTAATGACATGCAGGAAGCCCAATGTACTAAAGTCTATCTCAAATTATCGTACATAAGCATTAACAGTAATATTTAACAACTACCTTTTGTTAACAGAATGAATTTGTTGGGAGCATTCTGCCTATGGACCTGCACAAAGAGCACAATACATCAGAAAAGTTGAGCAACATTATATTAGATGAAAATTATCACAAGGCATGAATAGTGTAGGATTTTCATAAAACTTTCAAGGAAGATTTGACAGAGGTTAGCACAGTCAATAAGAGTTGGCAATTCCCAACTAAACCTTTCAAGAAAGCTACTTAAAATGAGTTGAGATGAGAGACTTATCCCTAAAATAGTAAGCTAGAAACTTAGAAAGATGTGTCTTACCTTTATTACACGATGAACGATAGGGATTTCCTTACCCTGAAATGACAAATGCAAATAAAAAGAAGTTAAGCAGAGATTTCGATTGAAAGAGAGAGAATAAATGAGATCAAACCATAAGTAGCAAATAACTTTTAAACCAGTATGTCATTGACAATAATCTTTATACCAATATGTCACCGAGATGCTAACTTTTATACCAATGTGGTTAATTGGCTTCGCATGGAGTCATGGAGTCATATATCAAGACTTATAACCAGTATATTTTATTAAACAACAAATTCCCAATGCAAATGAAAACAAATCATTAAAAAAAAGTCTTGTTAATGTCCAATTAACTGCCTCTTAATAATAAATGAAAAACTAAATAATAATCTCCTGTGTCTAAAGTCAAGATATATCAACATCAAGAAAAGTCCAATAATTTTTTTTAAAAAAAGGAAGAACAGACCTCAATTTTGAACAGTACAATTTCTCCCGTTTGAATAGGAGGGCTCTTCATGGCACTAAAGAACAATAAATCACCCTACACAATAATATAATACGAGTACTTTTAATTATTATGAAAATGAAAATATATTATTAATTGAAACTTGTATTAATTATCAAAATACGAAGTAAAAATTATTGCAAAGAAGGTGGACCTTTCGAATTCCAGGTTCCATGCTTCCGCTAAGAACAACAGCAACAGGGTATTTGGTTCCGGTTACCAGAACTATCAACTGCCATGTCATTAACGCCAATGTAACAAGTGAACCTGTCAATATCATCATAGTATCAAGTTAATCCAAATTTTCTTTAATATAATTAGGAAATACTTCCTTATCTTATGTTACGACAACGCATTTGACCCAAAAAGCTGAAATAGGGTAAGTAAAATGAGACGTAGTGAAAAGCAAATCAAGCAATTAGCCTTAACGAGTTAACATACAGTGTTTGCTTCGTGGACTAAGAATTCTATCTAATTGTATTCCACCGCTTTTAAAAAGCAACAAATAATCGATATAATGAGCATGTATTTAATTGACAATTTTTTTTTTTGAAGAGAATTGAATTGACAATTAGTAATACGTGTACGTCTTTAAGCAACAAATAAACGATATAATGAGTATGTATTGAATTTACAATTAGCGGGTGTAACCAAGATATCAAATACGGATTGAAAAATCACCTAATTTTATGATTTTCGTTGCCGCACCTCTTGACCGAATTGAGCGGTGTGATTGTTTAACGTAATCCAACATCTTTCTTTAATTTTTCTTCGCAGAAGAATGATCGAGGGACGAAAATAATCGGATTACAGAATATAAATACTAGAAGAAAGGCGCCTAATTTTAAATGATGGATGTGCTGCTTTCGTATAGCTTGATGTCGTGTCTCTTTCCTACATGGCAGCTCTTTATTGGTGTGCTGAGGACTTTCGAGGGTGTTTGACTTCCGTTAGGAAATAAACTTAACTTACCAAATATCATATTATATGATGTATCTTTTATTTATTTTCTATATTTTATGCTTTTCTAATTAGATGAGATTTGTAATTTGAAAACAAGATAGATTTTAGGTATATAATCTATCTAGAATTATTTGATTACTAGATGGAAGCCCGTGCGATGCACCGTTTTTTCATCTAAGATTTTTAATTATTTGATTTATTATATTTAATAATTTAAGACAAAATTACAAAAGTTTAATATTTATTTTTTTACTATAATTTATAATGAATTTATTAAATATAAATAAATTGTAAATATGATATTTTTTCATCTAATTCGTTTTAACCGAATTCATAATATTTAAATATAAATATTATTAAATTGTAAATATGAATTTATTAAATATAAATAAATTGTAAATATGAGAAAGGAAATATTGATACTCATAATATTTTTTATTTAAATAGAATATATTTAAATAATATGTAAAATAATTAGATGAAAGCCTGTGCGATGCACGAATTTTTATACATATATCTCAAGAAAAGATATTTCTTATATGCTCTAAGTTTTTTTTAATATATATATATATATATATATATATTTGACTTATTTTACAGTTTAATAATTTCAGACAAAAAAAATAAAAACAAATAATAATTTAATTAAAACGATATTGTCAATTACAAAAGTATAAAATTTTTAATGTAATTTATATCGCGACTTCATTTATTGTTGTTTTGTATTTTATTCGTTGTTCTTAGTTATATGACAATAATATGATATCTTTCAAAAAACAAAAATTGTAAATATGATATTTCATTGATTACATATTAGGATAAAATCTTTAATGTGAAAAGATAATAATTTTTTATTTTTAAAATAATTTAAATCCTAAATCATTATTCGTTGCTTTTTACACTTGAAATTAAACTCTCAAATCTATATATCATTATGTATATTTCTTGTGACCTCTTGATCTCTAACAAATTAACTGTCTTTTAAAATTTTTAGACATAAAATTTTTACAGAAGTTAAATTTCTTTATTGGGTTAAAAGTTTTAAATGAAAAAAACATCTTATAAATCGGGTATTTAGATAAAACCATTAATTTCATAAGATAATTTTTAATTTTTTTAATAATTTAAATCCTAATATCCTACGGTTTTTAATACATAAAATCTCATAAACATAATTTTTGTAATTAGATTATACTCATAATATTTTTACATTAAAAATAAAGTTATTAGATGTAATATTTCGATGTAAAAAAAATTTGTATTAAAAAAAAAAATTCTATAGGATCACCAACTTAGTTCACACCGATATATCTTCCATCTAATAAAAGTGGATAAATAGAATATGTTAGAAAAAATAAAATTTATATAAAATTAATCTTTATAGTCTTATAAAATAAATTAAAATATTTACCAGAAAGTGAATAATTGTTGTGAAATTAATCTAAAAACTGTAATTATACAAAATTAAATTTATGCATTGGAATTTTTTCATCTAAATGTCACAAATTTTAATTTAATTATAATTAAGGAATAATTTTTATTTCTTATCATAAACAGTATCAAAATTTATTTTATAATAGTACGTATATAAATCCTATATCTAAAGATGATTATTTTAAAAGATAATTTTTAGTTTTTTAAATAAATTTAATCCTAATAAATCAATATTCGTTGTTTTTATTTACGTGGAAAAATTCTTAAATCTCATTCGCCAATTTTGTTTAGGTGGAAAACGAATTTTTTAATTCCAAAATAAAATAAAAATCTAATTTTTAATTGGTCGAAAATATACCTTTGCTTATGTGGCGCTCCGAATGCTCTTGAAAAATGCCTACTTTATTTATATATATTAGATTTAGGCTTGGGGAGCAAGTTGAATATCCAAATGGGTTTCTAGGTTCACAAATTCTCTAAAAAGTTATGTTAAAAGTACTTAAAGTTATCCTTTATAATGCAAAAGTTTTTATTTTTCTATTAATAAATTTTATCTTACAAAAACCTTATAATGTATTAGATTAATCATATTAGTCTTTATAGTATGTAATCACGTATTTATAAGAAATTACACATTAAAATAAAATTCAAACCAACGACAAATCAAAAGTTATCCTTTAAGTAGTTAAAGTTACTATAAAAATAGTTAAAGTTACGCTCAAACTGATCGTTTTACAATATAATTAATGTACACCCGTTGTACACAAGACTTTTAATTCTAGGTTAGCCTATGAGGATTTAGCAGTTTGTGGATATTTTATACGAGCAATCGATTTATTCATCCGATCCATTTGCTTCAACTTCCTTTTGACCTCTTGGACCTCATTGTAATCAACTACAAACAAACTGTATTATAAAGATGATAAGCAAACTTTCTTCATCACATGGAAGCAACATTGCCTTTTGTTATTTAACTCAAATGCTATTTTATCCACCAAAAATATTAAAGCTAAAAATGTTTTATCTGATAAGAAAAAAAAAATATTTCCAAATAGACATAAAACAAAAAAAACCAAAATTCAAAAATTTAAGGCTGTTTAACTATTAATCATGTTTAGGGGGTTTGTTGATGAACTTTTTTTTTTTTTTTTTTTTGAAATAGATGTTAATGAACTATTTATTCTATTGACATCTAGCTATTGAGTAAGCTTGCTTATTTGCTGACACATAACTACCAAATATGACACTATTTCTTGTCGACATATTTGATGATATTTTTGTATTTTAAACTTTTTGTGTCTAACAAAACTAATGATACTATATAGATTTTCGAATTAAGCCCGTTCACTTAACCTTATTTTTGCTGAATTGAAATTATTTTTACTAATTCTCTATTATTTTTCTTATTTAGAGTTACTGATTTTTACTGAACTAAATTTATTTTTACTGAACTAAAATAATTTTTTACTGAACTAAAATTATTTTTACTCAATATTTATTTTAAGGTGAACGGAACAAGGCCTAAAATAGTCTTACTTTTTTTTTGAAAACCGGCTGAGTTCTCATTAAATTAAGTCCATTTCTGCAAGTCTTGTGATACTTTCCGGAAACGGATCAAAACATACTTGTTCCACTGAGTCAGACAAGCTTGACCGAGCGAGTAAGTGGGCTACAGTATTTCCCCCACGTTTAACATGACTACAAATAAAAAATGAAAGCGAAGAACTCAATTGATTAATACGGCATGTAATCATGTGAAGATAGTTAAAGCCTCGTCTCTTCTCCTTCACCCGTTGCACAATCCCAAGAGCATCACTCGATCTCTAACCACACTTTCTCATATCCCAGTCAGATAGCAAGCCCAACACCATATTGCATTGCGGTGGCCTCTGCTATACTCACATCCCACCTGCCCCTGTATCTCTTTGTGCCTGTAAAGATGATATCCCCCCTGCTATTCCTTGCAACAACATCAATACCCACATCCCTGTTGTGGAGAATTGCCGCATCCACATTTATCTTGATAATCCCTTCTCTCGGCTTTTTCCAGCTGTTGTTACTACAAGAGCCTCTTCTTTTTGTTACTCCGCCCACCTTCTTAGTGTACTGCTGGTAACTAGCCACATAACTCACAAAATGCACGGCAAGCTGTGGTGGATCGTGGGGGGTTTCATCAAACAACATCTTGTTTCGGCTTGTCCAAGCAGCCCATGCTAAGGTGGAGAAGATGCACAGCTCTTGGCTTGGTAAATACTCACGCATATTAGCAAAAGTCTCCACAAAACTATCTCCTACTCGGTGTTGGGCATCCCTCCAAAAGCTGCAATGATCCCATATCCCACTTGTTGAGCCGCAGAAGAATAGAGCATGCAATAGTGACTCATTCTCGACATTGCAACGTTGACATGTACCCGAGCTGCTTATATGCCTTCTATACAATTCATTACTCACTGCCAGGGTATTTGTACAGGCACGCCACAGAAAATGTCATAATTTTGGAGGGCCATTCAACCTCCAAATGATACGCCATACTTCCTCACTTATTATACTATTCATAGCTTCTCTTCCCAACATACCTACCCAATACCCTGACTTCACCGAATACGCTCCATTCAACGTCAAATTCTAGAATACCTCATCATGCCCAACATCCTTAAGCAACGGAATTGACAAAATTCTAGCAATATCCTCTTGCCTGAGTGCAATGCCAATTCTTCCTCAGTAAATCTCTGTTACTCACTGTGAGAAACATTTTTGTTTCTCACAGTGGCAGTTTCGTAAATAAAATATACCACCGTGACTAAAGTGGTACAATTTTATCATCCATTTCGTAAATAAAATGTACCACCGTGACTAAAGTGGTACATTTTATTTACGAAACTGTCACTGTGAGAAACAAAAACGTTTCTCACAATGAGTAATGGGGGCGCCTTCTTTCTTCCTCCTTCCAGCACCTTTTCTCATCATCAATTAAAGGAGCCACACAAAGGTCCCCATCATGAAGGCCATTAGGAGGGGGGTCAAGTGTTTCTGTTCTTCCATGGCTGGATATCAGTTATCTCTCCAAACCCGGATACTCGACCCATCTCCTACTCTCCATTGCAGCCCCTCCTTCAACAACGCCTTGGCTCCCCAAATACCTCTCCATGTATAGATCGGGCAGTATCCTATATAAGATTCCAGAAACTCTGTATTTTTGAAATACCTTGCTTTCAACACCTTATGAACCAGAGTGTCCTTTCCATGAAGTAAACGCCACCCCTGCTTCGCCAAAAGAGCTTGAATAAAGACTTTGAGGTCTCTAAATCCCATACCCCTTTAGCCTTTGGTAAACATAAATCCTCCCACCGTTTCCAGTGAAGCTTATTTTGTGTTCCATTTCCCCACCAAAACCGAGCTAG